AGGTCGCTGTAAAAGGCTCAGGAGTTCCTCATTCTGCTTTAGCAAGCATTGATTGACCAGGCGGAGGGCCTCCAACTCATTGTTCGCAGGAGGATCCACCGTAGGAGGACGAACATCGGCGGTGGGGAAAAAATCTTGTGGATCTTCGTGTTGTTTGCTAGTATCTTCCTGCTAGTTCTGCACCCGCTGGGGATTCATTTGGCTTCTGCTCATGTTGCGAGTTGAGACCATCAGTTACTGAAGGATTAGTGTTTTTGTAAAGAGAACAGTCGTTCCCACAGACAGTGCCAAACTGGTGGTGTTTAACTAAGTGGGATGAACAAAACGAGAAAACTACTCTTGCACACCTGGGTTGATGTATTTCAAAACGGGGGTGTGTGGATAACTTGCACAGTAAAAGTATAGTGGTTCATCGAACTCGAAAGCTTGGTTAATCCACTCTCTAATGGAGTCTCTTGCTCTTTGGGTTTTTATTAATTTTGGCAGCGATTTACAGCGTATCTTGATAATCTCCGGATTTTCTTTCTCCCCATCGGAGGTATTATACAGTATTTATAGTTATGTTCCTATTATTGAGGGATCTGCCAAGAGATTTCTGCCCCTCATTCTCGGGATTTGTCTTGATTTTTGGCGAAGATCTTGGTTGGTTGAGAGTCTTGTGCCTTGATTATAGTCTCCTGATTTCTTGGCAATACCAGCTGTCTCCTCCTTGATTTCCCTCTTGATATTGAGGGGAGCTCGAGGTATAACCACGCGAGCTCTGGATAGTTGACCTGCTCTCTCAAGCGAGCTCCCAACTCAAGCTCACTCTTGGGATTTCTTCTTGGTATCATCAAGATCCATATATAGATAGCAATGTAGTAGCTCCCAATGGCCTCCAAATCTTGAATCCTAATTTTCCTGAATTTTTGATTTTTTTATTGTTTAAAAATGCTATGTGGTATCATCTTATTGGTTCCTACTTAATTTTATATCTTTTTAATACTTGGATAAAAATCTGTCTCTTCCTGTTCGAACCAGAAAACATTGATTGACCATTCCCATCATGACGCAGTTCCTTTGTTTGCTTGTGTGCGTGTTGCCTGTTCAAAACACAAGGTGAAAGAGAGACAACTTCTACACAAGGGGATTCATATAGGCCAAAATCCCTTTACATCTAGGGCATATTGAAGCCCTATTCTGTATATTTAGGAACAGGGCTGTCAAATGGTCGACTGCGAAACCCATCCAACTTTGTGTGCACTGTTATATTTTATGTGTTTTCACATGATGTTGCTATTGTCTCTTCCTTCCCTGCTTGATGTCCAAAACCAGTATGGATCCTCTATGTTCAGTTATCTTTTGATTATTGATCAAGCCCAAGCATGTTTCGTCTTGCAATATTAGGAAAAATATAACCGACTCACATCAATATCTATATAACTCAAAAACCACTTCCCTCATCCATGATGTTTTGGGTCCACTATATTTTTTAGTACTCTACCTCCTATTTTTCATCACTCAAAGCATAAGACGCGTAAAGTGTTTTATATTTTATAATTTTACTTTACTTATTATTTTCAAGATCAATTTTCACAAACAAATAAACACAAGATTTATGGTTAGGACTTAGGACCCATGTTTCAATATGATACCCACATTTTTTTTTTTGCGGGTACTGTAGTCTTATCCACAAATTTTTGAAACCCTCTCGATTTGAGCTTCTGCAAACAAGGAAATATATCCATATCCTTCACGGGTGTTTTTTTTCCGAAACTCAACAGTGTATGTATTTGGTTCCAATCCTAACTTTTTGGGTATATTTATTGTTACAACAAGCTTTTGGTTGCTTAAGAATGATGCATTTGGTTCTAATAAACTGCGAGACAAATATAATTTTAACATGTCTTTGAAAACCTATATCAAAATTGAAACAGATAGTAATTGCTTATAACAAGTCATTTTGTTTGGTGTTGAGAGAGAAAAAATCAGCAAAATGACATAGTTTGTAACTTAGTTTGGTCACTTGCTGTGCATTTGGAAGGGGTACTGCTAGTACAATAGATATGAATGCGAAACAATTGATCCTTTCTGTAATATTTCAGTTTCATATCTTTCTAATCCACAAGATTCTACCAATATTCTGGCTTTGTGTCATCTAATTTTCACTATTTTATAATATCGATCCATGCAGCTAAAGAGGAAAGATCTCAGAGCCCTGATGAAGAACCAGACTTGGCAAACTTCATCTTCAAATGGATTCTCAGCACCATTAAGTCAACAATCCTGGAACTGCTCCAGAGCTTGGGACTGCTGGTTAATGAGGTTTTTAAACGTCTTGAGAAAGAAAGACCCGCTTCAGAACTCACTGACATTATGGAACAAAAAGTTAGATCTTCATTCATCCTCTCAATAATGACGCTACTGATTGTGTTTGTCACTCGGAGCCATGGGGGCTGATCATCGTTGTGTAAAATGGTACCCAGTAATGCACTTCATTGTGAAACAATTAGTGCAGCAACTACTGGTACTAGGTAAATATTTAGTAATAAAGATTGATGTGTGTAATCCTAGAATGTATTTGAGACATAGATCAGTTCATGTCTCAGGTGTTGATAGTCTTTGTGAAGCGGCTCTGTTGCCCAGACAGTTCTCGTGTCCTACGGTGTTTGATTCGGGTATAACATGGGTAGGATTGGACAATGGATTTTAATCCATTTCACATTAGTGATAAGAATTGTTGTATCATTTATCATTTCCTTTGTTTACCGTGCTTGGATCAAGGTTGGATTACGACGTGAGTGCATTGTTGTTGTATCAATTCCATTTTTGGATTAGCTAATGATGTTATGGTCTTACATTAAAAATGACAAAATACTCTTGCATCCAATTCTATTTACAATGAAGTTAGAGGGTACTCTTTTTCATTGGGAGAATTACACCCTAGACTTCTTGAAGTTTGTCACTTAATCACTCAGAACCTCTGATATTTGAAATATTATATACAGACTCCCTGATATTTATACGTGTGTAACACTTTTGACTCCTGTTGTAAATATATCTGTAAATTACACTTAGACCCTCTTAAAGTTTTTAGGTATATAATATTTAAACCGCTTAAATTTAAAATATTACACTTAGATAAAAAATTTCAATCAAAGATAAAATATCAAATATTTTAAATTTTAGAATCAAAATTCATGTTTTATTATATCATTTATTAAAATAAAAATTTAATTTTTTTTTCTTAAAAATCATAATTAGTATACAATTATACTATCTATTGAAATAAAACTAAAAAATTAAACAAGGGTCTAAGTCATTCATAATATAAAATAAATTTTACATCCAAAATTTATGTTTTATTATGTCAATTATTCAAATAAAATCAAAAATAAAAATCTAATTTTAAAAAAAAAAATCATAGTTAGTATATATTATACTATCTATTATAATAAAACTAAAAAATTAAACAAGGGGTCAAACTATAATAGACACAATATCTTTTAACTTTTAATTGGGATAGTTTATTATTTTAATTTGGTTGTTTCAATGACCAAATTAAATTCTCATAGACAATATAATTGTATATTCATTACGATTTTTTAAGAAAAAATTAAATTTTTATTTTTGATTTTATTTCAATAGAAGATATAATAGAACATGAATTTTAATTATAAAATTTAAAATATTTGATATTTTATCTTTAATTGAAGTGTTTTTAGTCTAAGCATAACATTTTAAACAGTAATATATGTTTACAAATTTTAAGGGGTTTAAGTGTAATTTATTAACGAATATACTTATAGCAGGGGTCTAAGTGTTACACTCGTACAAACTTCGAGAGTCTGTGTGTAATATTTCAAATGTCAAGAGATCTGAATGATTAAATAATAAACCTCAAGGGGTCTGGGTGTAATTCTCCATTTTTCATTAATTCACTCAGTCTCCCTGAAGTTTGTTATTTAATCACTCAGACACTCTGATATTTACACACGCATAACAATTAGATCTCATAAATCTCAATTGTAAATATATTCGTTAATAAATTATACGTAGACCTCCTAAAGTTTGTAAACATATAATACTTGGACCATTTAAATTTAAAATATTATATTTAGATTAAAAATATTTCAATCAAAGATAAAATATCAAATATTTTAAATTTACAACCAAAATTCATGTTCTACTGCATTATTTATTGAAATAAAATCAAAAATAAAAATTTAATTTTCTTAAAAAATAATAATTAGCCTACAATTATACTATCTATTGGAATAAAATTAAAAAATCAAACAAGGGATCTAAGTCATTCATAATAGGATATGAATTTTACAACTAAAATTCATGTTCTGTTATTTCATTTATTGAAATAAATTAAAAAATATATATATTTTTTAAAAAAAATTATAGTTAGTATATAATTATAATATCTATTAGAATAAAACTAAAAAATTAAACAAAGAGTCAAACTGTAATGAATACAATATATTTTAGATTTAATTAGGATAGTTTGGTATTTTAATTTATAAACGACCAAATTAAATTCTAATAGACAATATAATTGTATACTAATTACGATTTTTTAAGAAAAAAATTGAATTTTTACTTTCGATTTTATTTCAATATTAAATGATATAATATAACATAAATTTTAATTGTAAAATTTAAAATATTTGATATTTTATCTTTGATTAAAATATTTTTAATTTAAGTATAATATTTTCAACTTAAGGGATCTAAGTAATATATATTTACAAACTTCAAGAAGTCTGAATATAATTTATTAACAAATATATTTATAATAAAAGTCTAAGTATTTCACGCATATAAACTTTAAAGAATCTGTGTAGAACATTTTAAATATTAAAAAATCTGAGTAATTAAATGACAAATTTCGTAAAATCAGAATGTAATTTTCACTAATACTAATTAAGATGAATTTCACATCATCTATTATCACCCAATATGTTTGTACCATTTATGTGGTGTTATTTTTATATTGTAGTAATAGAACGGTACCAATTCATTTCATGCTCCAAACACATTTAAAGTTTCCATCAGACCAATTGAGTTCAAATTCACCTTTTAATACTCAGAATCAAACACACTCAAGGTACTTAGTCCAGCCTACCATTCGCCTAACAAAGATGGGACAAAAGCAAGAGAAATAAAAGAAGCTCCATTCCGGGGATCGCAAGAGTAAATTCATTTCGAGTTACGAATCTTAAACTTTACTTTCCTCTCTTATAATCCCTCCGGCCACATCGCTTCGCCAAGAAAGACACTTCTTATTGGGTGAAGGAAGCACTACAAGCCTATGCTTGTTCCTACGCAACGCACGAATCTCCAACTTTTTGGCCGTGTCTTGCTCCTTTCTTTTGCCTCAATAGCGAGCGTTGCCAAGTCTACTCCTGTCAAAAAACTATTTTTTTTAAATTCAAACTTTCTTCATCCCTTTTTTATAACCTTACAAAAGCAGCTCACACATCATCATTATAAGAAAGAGCCCCTCCGTTCCACATTTCCGAACTAGATCACGCCAAGAACACCATACGATTACATCTCCAAATGGGTGGTTAATCAGTTCAGTTTTATAGAATTACATTTCTTGAGCCGGGAAACAGAACATAGATTTGACAACTCTTTTTCTCATTTACTAACCTTACTTGTCTTGTCAGTAGGAATAAAACTTCGAAAAAGTTTGTGTGCATAATGTCATCGACTGAACCAGAACTTTGTGCCCATCAATTCACGATCCGAGTCAGAACCTTGGCTTGCAAGCTTCTGAATACGTGAAGAGAATTCTTCAGCCTGAGAAAATTGAGCCAGAAGTCAGCCTTCCAGCAGTACAAATGGAAGCACAACACTTGCAAATAAAAGAGGATTATTTTGCATGCAGTTGAAAAGCGATAACATTCATGAACCTTATAGATTAGCAAATTATTATTCTGAGAAGATTAACCAGATTCCAGCAATAAAATGTATAACATCTAGAAAGAAAAGGAAAGGTAATTTGAAATGCAGAAAAGATGATTATATCCCACAACAGCATAGTTCATGCAAACGAATTAATCCTCTCATTCTCACTCTCGCATAAACACCCACACAGCCCGTGAAAAAAACATGTAGGTAAAGTGGACTTTGAAAGTACATCAAAGGACCGATTATTCATGTAGCAGATAAAGTGACGATCCCTGCTCAAAAGCTATAGAAGTACGTGAACCATGCATACTGAACTTAGGGCTCTGCAATAATAATTTACTTTTTAAGAACTAACAAACCAGAAATTATTGCAAAGCAAAGATAAACAAACAACCCTTCTGAAAGCTTCAAACTAACAAAACAAGAGTAAGCTAAAAATAAAAATGCTAATAATAAAGTGGGGCAGATAAAACTTCCAAGTAATGGTTGTTATATCGTACTACAAAACTGGATCAATATCAGACTTTTTTCATTAAGCCAAAAATATTCTATCTAATTGTCCAAGTCCTCTGACAATTAGACAACATTTTTTTTGAGACGTGCTATTCAATAATTAAGCCATATTTTAGGATTCAAAAAAATAAACTCCTCACATAAGTACAATTGGCCAACCAGAGAACAGGAACTCATACACAGGGACTTTGTAATATTCCACAACAGCAACACTCATCCACTAAAGAAACTAGCAATGGTCCTACATCTGAAGAAATGTTAAAAAAGAATGCCAAACAAAATCCTAACCTTTTCATCAATCCACATCAGTGAACTTAGTTGATTGTTTAAGATCCGCACAACAACATCCAGTGGAGTCATTCCATCAGTTGCCTCAAGTTCTCCACCCTAAATGAAATAGAAGTGTAAGTAACATCCACCAAAAGGCTAATGCACAGGAGTGAATAATTAAAGCAGAGGCACCCACTTGGTTAGCATTAAGAGTCTCAATAATTGATTTGATCTGCTCTGTCATATGTTCCAGTTCTCTCTCTATTAATTCGGCCTGCTCATACCTGAAATTACACCAAGAGAAATAATGAATGAAATGCTATCAGTATACATGGGTAAAACAACCTTCCTCATTCTAATTGCAAATTTCCTTCTTTTTTTTTTCTTTAACTGAGATCCATCCCAAAATACCCTCTTTGGACTCATTCATGCTTACATGCAAACTCCAAATGCTTGCAATCACCCCCAAACCACAAGCATCAAGTACTGTCTTCCAAGATTCAAGCTTTGGACTTCGAGGTAGCATCACCCCTGAAGTCTTCCCATCTGAGCTTTCCAAGCTTTCCTGATGGGTAGGTTTATGGGCAAATTTTGTTAAGGGTGTATAAAAGCATGCATGCCATACTAGACCACGAGAGATCAATTCAGATCCTTTACAATATATATCCATCCATACTTCGGATTTGAATCCAAAAAGACTACGACAACAACAGTACAACACAGGGAAACAATCTCTTATAAACACATTTACAACATATTCATTTGTACTCTGGGTCTGAATCTGAAAAGAGTACAACATCAACGGTATAATACAGGGAAACAAGATCTATCCATCGAGCAAAAGGAAAAAATCAAAAGAGGAACGAATAGTAAGTCGTCCAATCAATTCTAACGACTACAATTAAGAAGGTATTTGACATGACTTTATGCATCCATCTCAGTGAGAATATTGGCCAAGTCACAATTCAGCTTCAAAGAATGCATGATTGATAAGATGATGAACCAAAAAATTCCAATAATGTGAAAAAAATAAGCTAGAAATCAATTTGGAAGGAATGTGATTATAACCCTCTCCCATATTAAATAATAGGCAATAAATCTTGTTATGCTAGTATACCGTGATACAACGATCCCCTGCATCTCCAACCTTTATTGGTTTGGGTTTTCTATTAAGATGTGTGATAAAACAAAAAATGATAAAATTAGAAGTGAGCATATTGGTGAAACTGTGGAAGTAGCACTCATGGGAAAAAAAATAAGAGAGAACCGACTTAGATAATTTAGACATGTTTTTAAAAGACCTAGTACTATATTAGAGAATAGATTTTGATACATTTCAAAAGTAATGTGAAAGGTAGGGGTAGGCCCAAAGAACTTTGAGGGCTTTGTTTGGATGGATTTTTGGGAAGGATTTGGATTGACTTCCCCAAATCCTTCCAAACTCATACCCTTCCTTACAAAGATGGGATTCAATGTTGAATTCAGTTCATACTCATATTTGGTATGCAACACATACATATATAGCACTTACAAATATATCACTATTATCATAATATATTTGTCCTAAAAATGACTATATTGTCAATTGATTAGTCCAATCCATACTCATGTTTATTTAACTCAGTGGTACAAATGACATTTACCTCAAGTATGTCTTGACCAAAACCCACCCCAATGGGTTTGATGAAACCCATCATTCAAGGGTTTAAGGAGTCGGGCCAGTTATGGGCTAGGACTGCTGTCCATGCTTCAAACAGTCATCCAAACAAGGGTTTTGGAGTCTGTTGAACTATTTTCTCCAAACCCATCTTGCCAAGCCCTCCATACCCACTTACCAAACAACCCCTGAATGATATAGTAAAACAAGGCAACTTATGATGTAACCGGAATGATGGTTCTTGATAGAGCACAATGGAGAAACAAGATTCATATAGCTGACTCCAAATAGTTAGACTAAAGGCTTTATTGAATTGGGTTGTTCAAGTTAGTATTTGTGAAGTATTGGAAAACTCAAACTAATCATCCTATTCTTTCAATAGTAGAACTGGAACTGTCAGGACTCAGGAGTAACATTGCAACCCACTTCAATAATTTTGTAACTATCATCATCACACTTGCGAATAACAACCACCGATGCATTGTCATAAGTAAATCCCACTATAGGACACATCAAATAACTAAATGACAAGAACGCAGAGAAGAATATAATGCAAAAAAGGTGCAGAGGAGAATTTAAGTTAGGCACTTGAATCTATTTAAAGTGAGCCGAAATAACAAACTGTGTACTCACATTGCATCTCTTGTAGATGCAGCTTCGTCATCAAGAAGTAATCCACGCTCTTTTTTGTATATCTGCTCAGCTTCTTCTTCCATACTTTGCAAAGCCTTATCAACCTAATAACGTAAACAAAGAAAGGGATAAAATCTTTCGCAAAAAAATCATCAATCCTGATAGACTTGTCAATGGCATAACTTACAATAGGAAAATGAAATTGGTGACTAGGAAAAAATGTGCAATTAAACAATCATCTAACCATCTGACTGAAGTACTGTTAGAACAACAATTACATAACAACCAAAATTTCTAAAAATACAAGTTGGTAACATATACAACTTCTGCTAGTTAAATACCTCTTGTTGATGAGTCTCAATTAGCTCCAGTTGTCGCTCCAAGTTAGCTTGGGTCTCAACCACTTTCGCAACTTCAGTCTGATTTAAAATTTAAGCATTCAGCATCAGGTAAGACAGCTTATAAACACAATGGCAGATAATAATTTTATTTAAACATCATGGAATTCACATTCATTTGGAAATAGTACACCATTCACGTAGGAAATTCAGAAAGCAAGCAACAAAAGACAGTGATCTAAGTAATACATCTGATGCCTAGTTCTTCTCCCCAAACTATACCTCAATCCTCAACTAAACGAGAAGTCATGTTTTGAGAATAATGAATCATTAAACCTAAGTTAATCGCAGGATAGGTGATAGCAATGTCTCATTCAAAATCTTAACTACAAAGGAACAACAAGAAACAAAAACACAAAACCATACAAGGTAAATATATATAATAGAATTCAAAGTTGGACAAAGTCTTGCATATCGAATATTTATGAGAGTGCATGATGAATCACCTCAAGCTTAAGAAGTACATTACGATTCTGCAAGATCCTCCTGTCCCACTCAGCTATGGCATTAGCCTGCTTTCGAAATTTCCCAGTGCGCTCTTGTAGCTCAGTATTCCACTCCTTGATGATCTTTATATAAGACGACAAAATCATCACATGAAAAACTTAACAAAAATTCACATAAATTTCAGTCATTTAGCCAACGAGCGTGGGAGGAGGCAAGAAAGAGTGAAATTGGTGCGATATCTTAATAATGCCATACGAAAAGGCAATCAAAGCTGAAACCCCAACAACCAATATATAGAGCAGGAAAAACATTACGTCAAAGATTGTAAGTTGCCTTTGGCCAGCAGAATGTTTAGGCACATTTATTTCTCCGAAACTATAGTTGCACAATAACTTTTACGTGTTTGCAGAGTAGAGCAAGTCAAATATGTGATGATCATCGCATGCCAAGGAAACATTCACCATAACTTGAACCAAGTGTTACTCAGAAAGGAGAGAATGTGATATGAACTCATGCATAGAAAGTCTATACATATAAATTACCTCTTCTACAGTTTTCCCAGTAATTTCAGATGGTAAATTTGGTGCAGAGGCCACAGCTGTGCTAACAGTTGAAGTGGTCCTACAGAACAAGCAAAACAGAAAAATCTAAGTATGGTCTGATACCTCCAATTTTTCTCAACATATATGAAATATCAATGTCCTTACTTGCATGGAGTACAAGGATCAAAATTAATTTTGGTGCAAAGTTTTGGTCAATTTAGACACAGGAACGTTTCGAAAATGTTTCATAAACATTTCTGGTAGACAAGAAATCTTAAAATTTATTTCTGAAATATCTTGAAAAATCTCGAAAACATAAGAATTTTGATATTCAAACTAATTCATTTCAGTTATTTTGGTGGAAATGAAACAAAATTTTGATCTTTGATGGAGTATTTAATTTAGCAAAATTAAGGGCAAAGAGACAGGGAGAAGAGCTGTTTATTTAACCATGAATTCTAATGAAGGATTTCGCAAAAAATTGTTCAAAGAATGCAAAAAAATGGAAGATCATAATTAATAGGGAGATAATAAACAATGTGCAACAGGCCCTGCTTTTGTGTTGGTGTGAGATTGAGATTATGACCAATCTTTTTCTTTTCTTCTAGAGAGAGGGGAAGGTGGGGTTAGATATGTATAGTGTTTGAGCCAATACTTATGGGTAGCAGTTCTGTTCATCATAGTACCGTGATCAATATTCAGAAAATAAAAAACAGAACATTGTTCCAAGAACTAAGGATTTCGTCTCCCCAACAAGTAGAGGGATGACTACTTCGGTTTTTTCCCCATTCTCAAGGGCACTCAAACGAAGCTCAAAGTTTAGGTTATAGTTACGCCATCGAGAAGAATACAGACCCACTACTGGATGCTACAACAAGGGATGATGATGTCTGAGCAGCAGTCGAACTGGAACTTGGTATTGTTGCAGCTGTAGCTGCAGAAGTTGAAGCTGGGACACCTGCGTAACAAAAAAAAAATACAAGTGACATAATGTATGGCTCAAGTCTGGATAAATTTGGGCATCTTGACATTTCAGGGAGGAAGTTATTACTGGAATAATTTAAAAAGTACATGGCATATTAATTTCAAAAATAAAAAACTAGAAAATTTATGATAATGACAAAAAATGTTTGACTAATATGCAAACATAGAAAAAGGCAGTCAACCTCTTCACAAGATCCCATTTTAAGCTACTAATCATTTGTTTCTAATGCATATAGCACACCTCTTACCACCCCATATAATGAATGGCATAATAACTAAAAACCAGGCTTAAAACATATTTATGTGCATGTTATGTCAACTGAAACAGCTGTTAAAAGCTTTCCTATGGCAAATATAAGCAAATCCAAACCAAAATACATATCTAAAGAGCCATTTAACACTCATAAACATAAGGCAATCAGTATTTTCAATGAGGCACAAGCTTTAATAAAGTAACCGAGGAGCCAAGAATAAGCATAAATGTTAAAAAATCAAACTCATTTAAACAAGACAATTAGTTTTGAACTCAAACACCATTAAACAACCATTTACTCCAAAAATTTAAGATATTGGAGAAGGTGTAACTTAAATATTTATACTTTACCACGTAGGTTAAATTTTAAGCCTAACACGTGAAATTTTTTTTAATAATTAGGGTGGCGACAAGATTTAAACACAAAACGATGTCATGTTAACCAATCATCTATTCCAAAAACTTAAACTATTGGAATCGGTGTAAGTTAAATATTTGAACAATGTTATTGGAAGTTAATTTACTAACCTAATTCACTATGACCTTTGATTGACTGTGGTACCCATTAAATATTAGAATTCGGTATTAATCCAATGGTTCTACTGAAACCACATCATTATGTCAGCAAATTATGTTAGAGTTTTAGGTCCAAATAGTATTAATCTAAATATTTATACTTCAACAAACACCACCCCATCTGTCTTTATAACATTTGTCACTGGAAATATTGAAACACAGGAGTCTAGTCATGAAGAGTTAGATATTGCAGGAAGAATTAGTTTAAAAGCCGATCAAGGTTATCAGAACTACGGCACTTCAGAGATACACAATAACTCTAAAACTCCTACAACAAAGAAACCAAGTATGTAAAGCATGGAAAAGGAGAATGAACCGACCAAACAGGTGCGAAGCAGCTGTTGACTGTGGTTGAGATGATGAGGCAGCACCCGTTGGTTTGGTGGACAGTGAAAACCCTGTTAAAGAACTGGTGGTGCCCGAGGAACCGGCTGCACCGGTGGCACCAAACCCAGTAAAAAAAACAGTACTAGCTGTTGATGCGGCTGCACCAGTTGCTGCAGCTGTTGAAGCTGTAGTCGATGAAGAACTCGCACCAAAAGCAGGGAAGCCCATAGTCGAAACCAAACTAGTAGTAGAAGCAGCAGAGGATGAAGTAATAGTGGCAGGAGTTGAAGCACCAGTGGTCGCGACAGTTGAAAATAGAGTCGAAGAAGCAGTGCCAAAACCTACAGAAGCGGGCTTCGCAGCCGGCATACTAGAAACAGCAGGAGCGGCGGCAGAACTAGTTGTACTAGAAGATACATTTCCAAACCCCAGAGAAGATTGAAACCCAGAAGCGGTTGGAGTCCCGAAGGAAAAACTCGATGAGCTCGATGAAAATGATGTCAAAGACGGCATTGCAGAAGAGACAGTTGTTGAAGCAGAACTTGCCGTCCCCTTTGAAAGCGAAAACGCTGACGCAGGGGATGTGGCAAATGGCGAAGACGAGGCGGAACTCAAGCTAGAACTGGTGTTGAACGAAAATGGTGCTGCTGAAGAAGAAGCCGAAATCGAGCTTGAACCACTGGAGAATGAATATGCGGGAGCTGAGGAAGCCGAACTTGAGCTTGAAGTGGTGGAGAAGGGAAATGCAGGGGTTGAAGCAGCCGAAAATGGCGCAGAGGAACTTGAACTCGATGAAGAAGACCCGAACAAATTTGGGAAAGAAGGCGCAGTTGAAGCAGCCGAAAATGTAGAAGAGGAACTTGAACTCGATGAAGAAGATCCGAACAAACTGGGGAAAGAAGGCGCAGTTGAAGCCGAAGACGACGATGAAGAAAATGCTGGCGTAGCCATTGCCGAACTCGAAGAAGATGATCCAAACAAGGTTGAAGAAAAAGGTGAAGCTGTAGTAGTAGTAGTACCAGACGCAACTGAACCAGATGAAGAAAACCCAAACAAACTGGAAGGTGACGCTGTAGTAGTAGTAGTACCAGACGCAACTGAACCAGATGTAGAAAACCCAAACAAACTGGAAGTAGTACTAGAAATTGAAGTCGATCCAAACAAGCTTAACCCAGTAGCAGACGAAATCGAGGTCGACGAAGCAGCTCCGAACAAATTCGAACTCCCAAACGGCGACGAAGCAGCACTAGACAGCGTAGCTCCTAAAAGTGGCGAAGAACCACCAGACGTTGTCGTTCCGGAGAGTGGCGAACTGGTAGCAGATGCCGACGATGCAGAGGAACTGAATCCGAATGAAAATGACGGAGCAGAAGCAGCGGAAGAAGCCAGAGCCGGAGACGAATTGGCGAATCCGAAGACCAAAGAAGGAGATGAAGATGAGGAGGAAGTTGATGATGGTGGTGCGCCGAAGCTAGGGTTAGGGTTTGAGAAAGGGAAAGGCGAGGAAGAAGAGGGTTGCGAGGAGCCGAAAAGAGATGGTGCAGAAGCGGATGATGAGCTAGGGTTTGAAGAGAGAGAGAAGGGAGAGGTTGAGGAAGATGAAGATGCGAATGAGAATGGTGATGAAGAGGATGGGTTGGTTGAGAATGAGAAGCCTGACATTGTGATTGATTGATTGTTTCTCTCTCCAATCCTGGTTTTGTGATTTGCAGGTAGAAATTGTGAGTGTGTGTGTGTGTGTGTGTGTGTGTGTGTGTGTGAGAGAGAGAGAGAGAGAGAGAAATGGGGGTTTTGGGAGGAAGGCGGTGGTGAGAAGGGTTTAAATTTTGGGGTTTTTGGGGGGTGGAGCGGTTCTGTTTAGCGGTGGAGCTGAGAGTTAAACAGCCGGTCCTAAGGGGCTGTTTGGTAAATTTACAATCATCAAAGTTGCGTTTGGTTGGTGTTATTGTTCCCTTTTTTGGTTTTCATTTTATTTTTTAAAAATACATAAATAAAAATATTACCAAACACACTATTTAAAATTAACAATCGACAGACGCAACAAAATTTAAGGACTATGTAGCTCTTTTATGGAAGATGGATAAATTTGTGTGAATACACTTCGGAAAAAAAATGTTACACGTAACATTTATGTCAAATTTTTTTTAAAATATATTTAAAACAACTCGTTTCTAAATGATCTCTCTAGAAAAAGGCAATTAAAACAATTTTTCTAATTATTTCGTTCTCTATTTCTATTTGGAAGTATCTTGAGGAAAAAAAATTTGTTTTCACCGTTGTTGTTGGTTAGGGGTGTCCACCTTATCCTACAGGTAGGAATTATGATATCTCATCTTGTTACACGATACTTTGCGAAAGAATTTTCTTTTAGCCTATTCTACTTGATCAAGTGTACTAATTCTACCTAAATTCCGTCCAAAACAATTGCGTGCGGATAGAATAAAAATATGAATTTTTTATAGGTATTCTATATTTTTACCCAATTTTTTGCGAAATACTAAAAGATCTTTTGTTGGCCTATTCGATTCTTTTCGAGTAGCTGATCAACAATGTCTGAAAGGGTCGGATAGAATCGAAATTTGCAGGTAATCGAAAATTTGAATATCCCTAGTGTTGGTAACACCAACTTATTAGGTTGTGGGCAAAAAAAAACAACTGCGGGGACTCGGATCAGGGTGTAATGTAATTAAGAAAGTCATTTCATTTAGAGCGAGATAAAATGGGTGGGCACCAGTAGTTTAGTGTCTGAGCCCATTGATCAAACGATGACTAATTTTCTAATTTGAACATTCTGTTCAATTAGTCTGAAAATATAAATGCCCCTCACATGATTGTATATATTTTTGGTGTCTAAACTTGATAATATTGGTATTAGCTCGTATTTTGCAAGAAATATGAGTGAATTAGAGATGTCACTGATGAAAGATCCTTCGATGCTTAAATTAACATCTAAATTCAATCTTACAACATAAAGGAAGGGAAGAGAGCAAAGAGTTGTTACCAAGAGGATCTATTTTTTTTGTTAAACGATCAGAGTGTCCGAATCATTTTACTCGCACCTCGACTACTTCAAGAGGATCCTTTATGTAAATTATTCCCCTTCATCCTATCTCAACTAATCAAACTCAATAATGGTTACATATTTTATTTTGTAATTGTTATTTTGTGATTTATTCGAAAAAAATTTATGATACCATATTGCCCCAATTATAGATATTTGAAAACAGGTATTTTGTAACACATTTACACATTTTTTTTTAGGGTAATTTGAAAGTTGGTACAAAATTTTGGACTTATTTGAGATAAACTACATTAAGAAAACTTATTTGACCTTATGTGCATTTATTACTTCATTACTCTCTTTCTTCTTTTCTCTCACCATCTCTTTCTTATTTTCTCTCTATCTATTTATCTCTCTTTTTTTCTCTCACATTGATAATTTATTTTTTTTAAATATGTAAAAATTTGTTTTAATTTTTTCATCTCTCTCTCCCCCTATTTTCTCTCTCTCACTCACTTTATTTCTTTATTCTCTCTCTTTATATCAAGGTTACAACAATATAATTACACTAATTAGTTACAATTATCTTATAATACATCAAACAATTACTTATGTGTTCTAATAAACCAAATAGTTACATTAAACAATTATACAAAATTACAATATCAGCCAAATTTGTCATTCAGTTATTTACATAAATAAAAGAGTTATATCATTTAGTATCATGACATGGTTATACTAATTATATACATCAAATTCGGTTTATCATTATACAAAAAATTTTATCATTATACTAAATTTGGTATATATAATTGGTGTAACGATACTGCGATACTAAACGTTGCAACTGGTTAATTTATGTAAACAACTGAATGACAAATTGGGTTGATGTCATAATTTTGTATAATTGTTTGATGTAACAGTTTGATTTATTAGAACGCATAGTAACTGTTTTGTGTATTATAGGACAATTATAACGGATTGATGTAATTTTGTTGTTGTAAATATTGACATAAATAGAGAGAAAAAAAAAAGGAAGAAAGAAAAATAGTTAGAGAAAATAAGGTGAGAGAGAGAGAGAGAGAAAATAGGGGAAAGAGAGATGAAAAAATAAATCAAATCTTTATATATTTGAAAAGAAAATAAATTATTAATGATAGATAGAGAGAGAAACATATTTGATTAGATATATAATTGTCAATCAAGAATGCATAATGTAAGGGAGGATATTTAGGCAAAAAAAATTTGATTTCATTTGAATTTTGTACCTAAATATCATATGTTTTATTAAAATTGAACTTAATAGAGTAAACAACTTATTTATACAATTTTTCTCAAATAAGTTTAAAATACTATACCCACAAAAAAAAACCTTTTTTTTTTTGTAACTACAACGTGATAGACATTTGATTTTGGGAAACGCAAAATCAATTCAAATAGTCCAGAGGCAATGTGAAAAACTCAACAATTGTAAGAATAAAATGAGATCGGAATCATAGTTAAGATGGCAAAGTGTAATTTTTTTTTTTTTGAAATTTCACATTTTTTGTAACGCAGTAGAAATTTGAGCACGAGCGCAGCATAAGGAGCTTGCCAGCTCGATGGAGCTCTAACTCGCCAGCTCATCCACTTTTAACCCGACATACACTTGTCTACTCCGTAACTTGACTAATTCAACTTAACTAAAATTTTCAAACAAGTAAGAGTCTACCTCACCTACACCACTAGTATTGCCTCAATTCAAATTAAGGGATAAGAATTCTCTAACGGCATAATTAATTTTCCTATAAAAATAGACAAATGGAGATCAACCAGGTAAGCGATTCCAACTCCAATTTGATATTCTTCTTTCTCAATTCCTTTCTAACTTAAGCATTCAAAGGTCGAGCTCCTCCAATCTTCAACTTATCATTTCAAGTGTTCTCCTAGGTCGGTCCGAGGACGATTCTGATCAACCATGTGTGTGGGACTTGGAGATCAATTTCTTGCATCATCAATTACAAATGTGTACCCAATATGTGATCAAATGGAGCATATATGTTGAACTAACAGGCAAAGAGTTTATTGAGGCAAGTTTTCCTTTCTTTTTCTTTTTTTTTTGAGGTTTTTTTTTGGGGGGGGAGGGGAGATCTAAGAACTAGGAAGTCAACAAATTTTTCGGTCAGAACTAGATGCCTCGTTGTCCAATGGATCCTCTCCTTTTGCAGACGTGTAAATGTATCATTTGCTCAAGCGGTATGTTGCATGTTCGCGTTGAAGAATCAATCTTTCCACAACGAGGATAAACATACCTATCATTTACCTCACTTACATATCACTAGTAATCCACACGTGCGTTACACGTGAAAAAATATAAATCATAAAATTTTGATTATATTTTTTAGAAATGTAAAGTGTATGAAGTTGATGAAACAAAAGATTGTCGATATATACATTAATGGATTCTTGAATCCAATAAGAATTTTTGGCATTACAACATAAGACTAAGAAAATCCTACTAATCTAAAACTATTCCACCACCACATGAATTCAAGAAGTCTAGTAACAAAACTAATTCTACTCATTGTATAATAACTCTTAAAACACTACGAGCTTACTAATAATAAACAATTAAATATTAAGAGATTAGTTTAACAAATTAAGTTCTTCATTCCATGAAAAGTATTTTTTTTTTTGGTGTTCATTATCACTTTGATGAGAATACCAATTCAATGGAACACAAATTAATTTTAGTTCCAATTACAAAAATTGTTGCAAAGTAAATAGAGCATCTATGCAATAGCCATACCCAAATAGATGAAAAAACAAAGTCAAAAAAATACCGTATCAACAATAGGCATGATTCTGACAGAGATAAAAAAAAGCTCACAGGTTAACAACATCAAGCACCATCGACTCTACAGAAATATAAGACCAAATATGTTAATGAAGTTACTGGAGAGATATATGTCTATTTTCCTATATCTACCTATATATATTTCTAATAAAGTTGTTCAAAATATTTTGGAAGTTTAATAGGTATGAAAGAAATAAAAATTTATAAGTTTAGCTCTTTACTCTTCTATTCTTTTATTATATAACAATGAATAATGAATTTTCGATGGTTGTGCTTATCACCTAAAAAATAGCAATTTTTTTTCACATCATATTAGAATTCTAGTTAAATTTGTCGAATTGAATAGAAAACAAGAATGTACTACCAAGTCATAAGTGATAAAGTTTATCTAGTAAAAAATTTGAAAGTCATAGAGACAAATTTTATCTAACTAATATATAATGATAAAATTTATCTAGCAAAAATTTTAAAATATTAGTGATAAAGTTTATCCAACAAAAAATTTGGAAGTCATAAAGATAAAGTTTATCTAACTAATATTTTGTGAGCATAATTATTTTTAGTGTAATAATTAAGGGTGAAATAGGAAAAATAAAGTTGTTCAAAATATTTTGGAATTGTAATAGGTATGAAAGAAAAAAAAATATATGAGTTTAACTCTTTACTCTTCTAATATTTTATTATATAATAATGATTAATAAATTTTCGATGGTTGTATTTATATACTAAAAAATAGCAATTTTTTTTCACATCATATTAGAATTTTAATTGAAATGTACTAGCAAGTCATAATGATAAAGTTTATTTAATAAAAATTTGGAAGTCATAGAGATAAAGTTTATCTAAATAATATTTTGTGGGCATAATTGTCTTTAGTGTAATAATTAGGGGTGAAATAGAAAATTAAAATTTTTTCATAGATGTTGACATTTATAAGTAATATAGATTACATACAAAGGTTTTGTATATTAAATATGACTTTTTTTAAACAGTGTTTACAATAAAGAAAAAGGAAAAAAAAAAACAATGGAGTTCTAAACTATACATATGAGTTTAGTCTTAAAGAACATGGTGATGGGCAAATGAAGTTCTCAACATCTGTAAAAAAAAAAACAAAGAACAAAAAGAATCTTGTACGGTTGCCAATCGGCAATTGCCAAATTATGGCCCAATTTGCAACTTTTGTCATGGGCATTGAATCCAGAATTCTACACAACTGAAGGATCTACAGTTCACACACTTAGGCAAAGACGACTGACCACAGCATGAACTGATTATTGCGGGTTCTCATTAAGCGTAGCGAAATCAAGATAAAGTCGACGAAGTTTATATGGTGTTCTACCTTTGCGTAGTCTTGGTCCATATGAATAAGACTAAATACATTTGCATTTCAAGATTGAGCTAATTGTTTCCAAGAAGACAGTTGCTTGGGGCCCAAAAGCCATGAAAGCCAAGAGGAAAATTCAAGTGTCTTGGTACTTCAAGTCTTGCAACAAGTGCATTGGTCTCTCCCATCCGTTTAGAATCCAAAACCACAAGATAGCACTTCTGTTTTGAAACTGCATACTACACAAATATAACAAAACACAATGTGTAAGAGCAATGTTTCCCTTCAAACGAAACAACAAGGAACAAATATAAGAATTTAACTTGCGAAAGAGAGGGAGCAATTTTCTAAAATTTGGATAAATTACGCTTTGACCTATAATTCATATCGCCCGTATAACTATCATGTTTCTCACATTCCATTTTCAATTATGATTATTGATTTCACATTACCCCAGTTATAGATGCATTTAGTAATCTCAACCAGAATAATGTTACTCCCCATTAACTATGTAACTTAGATTTATTTTGACTCCAAACCTAAAAGTGTGAAAATATTTTTCATCCGGAGGATCTCGGACAATGATTTTGGGACAGACAGACCAATTCGAGCAATTGAGGGAGTAATATGAGAAACAAAATAGTAGAAAGATGAACCAAAATTTAAGGATTTTGTTGAAAAGTCGATACTATTGGGATATAACTTGGGGGACCTAATGCAAGGGGTCAGTATCAATCCAGCAACAAAAGTACATTAGATTCTGAAATCCCCCAAGATCCATCATTTCCTATTCAAAAAGCTCATTCATAGTGAAGAAATTTAAAGATTTTAGCAAATACTATACTTGAGTGAAGAGTTAATGAACAAACTTCTCACCTCTACTACAAGAAGGTACCCATCATCTTCCTCTGTTCCTTTGGGTACAAAAATGGGCTCACCAATGAAACGTCTGTTGCCAACAGACCATGTATGGGTGGACTTGTTTGAAGTGTTGAGTTTCACCACTGTATCAAAGGGGAAATGTGGGAGAGCTTGACGAGAACCAGAAGAAGTTGCTGCATATACATACTCGTTCTTGCTGCCTGAATACTCTGGATTGATAATGGGGAAGTCTGATGATTTACTCCACTGTTTTATGGGATTGACACAGCATTTTTGGCAGTTCCCTTGTGTATCCAAGTTGATTGATACCTGCATTGTATCGCATGACCATTTAATACCATTTTAGTCAAATAATAAAGGAACTTCTCGTTGTTGGTGCCGCCCTTGAGGCTAGATTTTGTTCCTTGGAGAACTAATCTCAGTGGAGTAGAGCAATAACGTCAACCCACCAGGATACACCAATCACTTCTCACAAACGGGCACCTAGTTAATAATAAAGGAACTTCTCTTTTGTTGGTAGTGGGGAGTAATATATATATGAACCTGACCAAATGAGGCAGGAGAAATCACAATCCTTGGAGCACTAATCTAAGCATTAGATTTTGCTCCTTGGAGCACTAATCTCGACGAGTCTCACTCGAACCTTTTCCTCTTAACATATATTAATTGTTTCAAGGTATTGAACTTACCATTAAAAAAAAAAAGGGTATTGAACTTGAATCAGAAGCCAATGCTTGTGATATTTGTTGGGGGTGGGGGGGGGGGGGGGGGAGGGA